ACATCAGTGCCTCACCAATCACCAACCTCACCACATGCCACTCAAAATATATTATAAAGATTGTGCTGTTGTGCTTGCAGTAACTCATTAAACAAGGGCATAAAAACACATCAGAGAATCGAACAGCTCGAACACAGGGAAAAAGAGATAGAGAGATACTTAATTGATCCCCGTAGGGGAATTTCAGGTGTCCATTGGCAGCAGAAACACATCCATCCATACAAACAAAACAAATATATAGATCATTTGGAAAAAAAAACAATGATAGTACAATGCAACAGCACTTTAGGTCACAGCAGCAGAGACGTTCATAGAGATGAAAGTGACCAGAGTCAGGGGTCCCACCATCACACCACAATGGGACAGCAGGTGAATAACAATGAACCTCCTACAGCTGAAGTCATAATGATGACAGATAAAGTATAGGAAGAGGAGATACTTCTCTTCAAGTGTCTCCATATGCAGCTTGACAGACAGTCTGTGTGTTTAGACAGATGATTGCATTTCTAAGTCTTATCTGACCTACCAAGCTAAATTAAAAAGGACTATTTTAACCTGGCCTTGAATGTAGAGATTGTGTCTCTTCCTTGACATGGATGGTAACTGATAGTGGAGTTGTGTGTAGTCTAGTAGGGTCTAGTATACCAACACATGTGTTGGGACGCATCAGCAGCATTCTACCCATCCCCCATGAGTGAAACACCAATAAGCAGGAAGCCGAAGACATCTGCTTTTGGTTAGGCAATTGAGGAAGGCTCTTCTTTCTGTGATTTGACCAATCAACGACGCTCTGCGACTATGAAGAGCTGCGTCTTCCCCCATTCTTTGTCTTTTGCTTTTACATCTGCCGAGACCCAGACTGTAGTCTGTAACATGTCTGTGTGTGTGCGAATGACCAGATAAGATGTAGTTTGAACTAGCGCTGACAACATGTATTAAAGAGATTATGTTGTTCAAATGTGAGCAGTTTCTTCACAGTAACCCTAACCCGCAGTATGGGAGCTTGGTAGCTAAACGCTCTGACTGTACTTTTTGACACTTTAGGAACCACCAGATATCTGCCGTTTTGCAAGCGTAGTGCGAGCGTGGTTTGATTGATAGTAGTAGTAGTAGTAGTAGTGTTTATTTCGAATTACATGCGCAATACAACACAAAACAAAAAGAAGAAACATATATATGCATAATTCGAAAAGGAGTAGGTAGAAGTGAAACTTATGCTTCCTACCCCTTGTTACAAACTTTTCACTTTACAGGAGTTCAAATGATATACAGGCATATTTCTCTCAGATATACAATTTACACTCGTCTCCATGAATAGTAATTTTAAATGCTGATTTCGCACCAATGATGTTCTTAGGTCTTGTCACTTGTTGCCATTTTTACCCAAAGCTGTTTATTTAATGTTAACATGGTTATGTATGTAGACCCTACATAGTGCAGTGCATTAAAAACAGTGGGTAGAATGAGCCAGTCGAGAGAAGGTAATAGCCCCCACTCAACCCGCCCCACTCCCAACCTCCCTGACCAATGGAAATGTAGGAAAATTTCCGTTGTATATTCTTGCTGTGTGGTGCGTTAAAAACGAGGTGTTGAGGCCGCTTGGCAAAAGGGAGCCCGCCAATCCAACCATATCTCGTCTGCTCTGATTTACTTGCATCTGTTTAAACAGTAATGGCAATCACAACATGACAACTTATTTTTCCTGCACTATAGATCTTGGTCATGTGCTATTCATGGTTAAGAGTTGTCCATTGCATCTAAAAGATTTAACTGCTCCAAATGATTTTTACACATCCCTTTTACAGTTTAAACAAATTACATTATTTACACATATATTACATAATACATACCTTAATACTTTACCTTACACTTTACCTTACACTTTATGTATCACACCTTACTTTCCATTTCTTCAAAAACAAACCATCAATTTAAATCCAGATTTTATTCTCATGTAACACTCTCATATGTCCTGAATATAGTAGTTTTGATTTGTTTCTTAAAAACTATTATGTTTTTTGACTCTTTAATGTCTTTGTTAAGTGCGTTCCACAAGTTGATTCCTTTCACTGAGACTGTTCTTTCCATGACTTTTGTTCTGAATCTAGGTTTTTTAAAGATATCAGTTCCTTTCAGATTGTACTGACTTTGTCTTTTTTCAAAGTTCTCTTGAATGTTTGCGGGTAATGATTTGCAATTTGCTTTATACAATATCTGAAAAATATTATAATCCACTATATCATAAAATTTTAACACCTTACACTCTAAAAAAACAGGATTTGATGAGTCTCGATATCTTTTGTTATTCACTATTTTTAGGGCTCTTTTTTGTAAAATAAATATTGGCTGTGTATATGTTTTAAAAGTTGTCCCCCAAATTTCGACACAATAGGTTAGATATGGTATAATCATTGTATTATATAAGGTAATTAATGCTGTGTGGGTAAGAAAGTATTTCACTTTATGTAACACACCAATTGATTTGGCTAATTTTCCTTTTGTATAGTGTATGTGAGATTTCCAGTTTAGGTCCTCGTCAATGATGACTCCCAAAAATGTTGTTTCCTTTACCCTTTGGATTTCCAGGCCGTCTATTGTTATGGATATACTATTTCCAAGATTTTTCTTTTTATCATTGAATATCATGTAATTGGTTTTTTTAATGTTTAGCGCCAATTTATTTTGATCTAGCCAGCTTTTTATTTTTGCAAGTTCTTTGTTTATTACTATTTCTAACTCTCCTATATTATTTCCAGAGTAAAATAATGTAGTGTCATCAGCGAATAAGATGCTTTGTAATACAGTTGATGCTTTTGGAAAATCATTCATGTATAATATAAACAAAATTGGTCCTAGTATTGAGCCTTGCGGCACCCCCCAACTGATATCGCATGGTTCTGAATACGTACTGTTTATTTGGACAAACTGTTTGCGATTTTCAAGATAACTGGAGATCCATTTTTGAGCAATGCCTCTGATTCCATACTTCTGGAGTTTCCATAATAATCTGGGGTGGTTAATTACATCAAAAGCCTTTTGCAGGTCTAAAAAGATACTTACTATATAATTTTTTTGATCTATTTCTCTTGCTATTTTCTCCGTCAGTTCCATTATTGCCATTGCAGTTGAGTGTTTTTTTCTAAAGCCATATTGATTTTTAATTAATATATTTTCTTTTTGTAAAAAGCTATCCAGCCTTATTGCAAATACTTTTTCCAAGATTTTTGAAAACTGTGGCAGCAAGGACACTGGTCTATAATTTGAAAAGTGGTGCTTGTCCCCGTTTTTGTAAAGAGGTATTATTTTGGCTGTTTTCATACCATCAGGAAAGGTTCCTGTTTTTAGTGACAAGTTGCAAATGTGTGAAAAGGCTCAATTACAGATTCAAAAATGATTTTAACAATCATCATGTCTAAACCATCATAGTCGGTTGATCTTTTGTTTTCACATTCATTTACAATTTTTCGTACTTCGTCTTGTTCTACATTGGAAAGAAAAATACTGTTCACATGATCTACTATTGTGTTTTCAGTGCTAGAGGTTGGCTTTGGAATTTGTTTTGCTATCGAGTCTCCTATACTAGTAAAGTATTTACAAAATTCATTTGATATGTTTATTTCGTTGGATATTTCAAGACTGTCCTTTACAAAATAATTTGGGTACACATGTTTAATTTTGTTGTTTTTCATTACATTATTTAATATTCTCCAAGTAGCTTGTGTGTTACTCTTGTTCTCATTTAGTTTATCACTGTAATATTGTTTCTTTCGGTTTCTGATGATCCAGATTAATTTGTTTTTATACTTCTTATACCTGTTTTCTGTCTCTTTCGATGGAGTTTTAATAAAACATTTGTATAGAAAGTTTTTCTTTTTACAAGCATTCTTTAACCCTTTCGTCATCCATGGTTGATCTTCCCTTTTGTTTTTTAAATATATGATTTTGCAATTTTTATCATACAATGTACTTATTGTTTCTATGAAGGCGTTATATGCTATATTGACATCATTTACATAGACCGCATCCCACTTCTGATGTCTAAGATCTCTGTTTAGTGCCTCTAGGGCTTTTTCCGACCTGTTTCTTCTTACAGTCTTTTCAAAACTGGTTGGTTTTGTGTTCTGATTGTGTTTAAATATTGCAAATATTGGTAGGTGATCGCTAATATCTGTTGTCAAAATTCCACTCATAATATGATCTTCATTCATATTGGTAAAAATATGATCTATTACTGTGGCACTTTGAGATGTTATCCTTGTAGGTTTTGATATTAAAGGAAAGAGGCACATGGTATTCATTGAGTTCAAGAAGTCACTTGCTATTTGTTCACTTGGGTTTCCTAAATTGATATTAAAATCTCCACATATAATTTGTCTCTTGTTTTTAGCTATTTCTATTTTTTCAATTATTTTGTCAGTAAAAACTTCGACACTGCTCTCTGGTGGTCTATAAATGCAACTAATTATTACATTTTTTCCTGACTTGGGTATAATTTCTAATGTAATCATTTCAATTTCATCTTCTATTAAAGTCATTTCATTAACAGTCTTACATTTCAAATTTGATTTTACAAACAATGCAACTCCTCCCCCTCTCTTTAATTTCCTATTTATTGAAAAAAGTTCATACCCTTCCATCAGAACCTCAGCCATAATTCCCTCTTTAAACCATTGATATGATACTAATGTGTCTTGGAGGTAGGAGGTACCCATATCATTTATGGTCTTCTATGTTAAAAGAAGGTTTTCGATTCTATACCCCATAGGGGGTCATTGGAGGGATTTCAATACTGGAGTAATGTGTTCCCTCCTTTTGGTACCTGTAAGAATCCTTGCTGCTGTATATCGAGCTGAAAGCTTTTTATAGAGGAAAATGTGTCACTCTAACATTATTGAGTGTGATTATCTAATCAGCAAGAGAGTTCTTAAACCAGGCATGTGAGAAATATACAGGTAATCATGTAATCTGCAGCCTTGCTTTGCTTGTCATGTTGTGTGCAGTCCCCTCTCCACCGGCTGAGCTCACGGGCGAGGCAGAGCTGGATTCTCGGGTCATGCTCTCGTGGCGGTGGCCCGTCCAGGATCCAATCACCAGCTTGGAGTTGAAGTACTGGGAGGCTAGTACTCCTACACGTAAGGTACTCATCCTCCTCCCATCACAGACACCACAAAACAAACGTAAATGTAGGATAGAGAAATGGATTCCAATCCTTCTAAGAGATTTAGAAGCTAATTTTGTCATATTTTTTTATAGAAAAAGCAGAGATGTCTCTAATTTTAGAGACTTGCGATTCGACTCGTCCCCTAAAGACTCGGACTTGACTTGGACTCGTTGTTTTTGGACTCCTGATTCTCCAGATCCATCCATAGGCCTGTCACGATAACAAATTTTGCTGGACGATTAATTGTCTCAGAAATTATTGCGATAAGCGATTATATTGTCGTTCTGAGATCATTTGCATCGATTACAATGATAATGCAGGTACACCTTTTCAAAGAGAAATAAACTTTTATTTTTAACGAATATTTAACGCTAGAACACAATAAATTAACAAACAACCAAAAACAATAAATAAAATACTCAGTCTCTTAACAAAAGGAATCACCAGGAATAAAACTGCCAGGACCTTTGTAAAGAAAATATGAAACAGATGCCTCAAATATCAATAATTTCTCAGATTTTATGGCAGATTACGAGAAAGAAATACCAACATGTTGACTTTGTGTGGCTTAAGACAGGATCTCTCAGGAGTAGTCCCACCCACACACACCAGGCGAATGACAAGTGACTGACATGTGGGTTCACCAATGGGGCGTACAGAAGTCCTGCTGCGGTAGCGCCCACCGGAAGTAGCGGGGCGGGCCTTGATGCTAACAGCTAAGCTAGCGGGTTTTTTGTGTAAAGTTCTACTCCAAGAATGCAAGTCTGCAGCATCTCTGTGTTCAGAGACCTTCTAGAGACTTTATATAACAGCAGTATGTGTTCACGGAGGTGCGCCATAAGTTTATTTTATTGGTATGGTACGGTACTTCTGCATCGGCAAACACGCTAACGCTAGCTGCGCTAGTATAGTCACTAATCAAGCCTGAATGAGAACTCAGCTGCCGGCATATGTTCACAACTACTGTGTCCCCCATTGTCAATCCTGGTTAAGTCCTGGTTTAGGTCCTGTTTTGACTGTATTTTGTATTTTTGAGTAATTTCCGTCTGCTTGCTAGACCGCTAATGTTCCCGTGACCACTTTGCGGCTCTCTGACCAGAGAGAGACGGGGTAAACAAACAAGCATACAAATGAGATTTATCGCGGCCAGAAAAGTTATTGAGCAAATTTTATTTATTGTGCGATTAATTGATTTATTGACTATCGCGACAGGCCTATCCATCCATTCACAGACTGGTAAGGGTGAGCGCTCTATGGCTGTGCGCGCTCTTTGGCTGTGCGCGCTCTATGGCTGTGCGCGCTCTATGACTGTGCGCGCTCTTTGACCGTGAGCTCTTTGACCGTGCGCTCTTTGACCGTGCGCTCTTTGACTGTGCGCTCTTTGGCTCAGGAAATTTTACTTACTTACTCAGTCAGAGGGAGCAGATCCGGAGTGTTCCACTTGGCTTGCCGGAGGGTCTGTAGGGCAGCAGAAGAAACACAGACGTCCCACCTCTTCTCAAAAAGCAGCCGGCTTTGTTGGAAGTTTTTAATAAATAGTTCATCAACACAATGCTCCATTTTTGAGTCACATTCAAGAATATCTGCTAGCTTTCTGAGGCTATGGCCGAGTTTGAGGGCCAAGGATGGAGTCTTGTATTGATTTGTTTCCTCATCATATCCAGCCACAGACCTGACTGCATCAATCACATGGTTAAAGTTGGAAGGAATAAAGAAATCCTTCATTGTTTTCAGTTTCCCTGCGGTTTTTGCTTCGTTAATTAACCTACCGACTTCTCTCATTTTCTGCCTAATGTAATCATGCTTAGGCTATATCCACACGAAGACAAAACGCTTATAATTTCAGAAACTTTTTCTGTAAACACGGAGTTAGCTCAGTAAATGTGTGCGTCCATATGAATGTAGTCAATACGCCTGAAAAAGCTGTGAAACTATGCCAGACCTGTTGGTGGCGTTGTGACGCAATGACGGGATCAAGCCCAAACTTCCGTGACGGGAACTGGGCATGCGCAGAATTTTGTAAACAGACAACATGGCGAGTGGGCGAGCTGGTACTACATTAGTATGGACGGACGATGAGGTTGAACTGTTGCTTCGGGTCGCACTGGATTACAAAACCAACAAGCTACATTGTTGTTGTCATTATTTTCTGAGTGCGGCGCATGCTGCTTTAACAAGAGGCGGGGCGATGACGCAAGCGTCTCAGATACATTGCGGAGAGGCAGTAACCACGGAGCGGCATATACGGAGTTTTGAAATCTTTCCACTCTGGGACCTACTTTCAAAAATGTTCGTTTACACCCCCCAAAACGCCGGCCTCGTATGGACAATACACTGGATTGATAAAGTATTTTTGCATTTAGGCCTGAGCTTGACTTCGTGTGGACAGGGCCTTAGTCTTATCATGCCCGTGTTTTAAGTACAGGTGCTCTCCGAGTCTCAGAATCCCCTTTTCTGCTTTGACAACACCTGTGACCTCATCCTGATGCATTGCCCAAATTAAAGACCACAGCTTTTTGCTGATGCCCTCCGGTACAGGCTGGGCTAGGGAGCAGAGGGACTGGACCCTACTTCTACCTGGTTTAGCCTGGTTTAGCCTGGGCATATTTCTGTGAAAGCCGGCACCTGGCCACATGCCTCCACAGCGACTTTCGCTTAAGCAATGCCCCACAGTCTATACAGTGCAAAAACTCACTGGATTTAACTGGGCAATTTGGCTGTTTAGCTGGGACTAAAGTTCCAATGCCGGCCTTTAAAACCTCAAAATTGTGCTCACGGTTTCCACTATTCCTGATCAAATCAAACTGAAGTTTACGTGCTTTAGATTTCACAGGTAGAGCCAATGCTCTGGCTACGTCACTTTCATTTCCATGTTTTCTAGACAAATGACGGGACATTTTGTGGCAGGACATTGAACAGTAGAGGCAGAAGTGTCTCTTGCTGTAAACTCTCCCCCCATTTTTCTTCTTTTGCAGCTGCATGATAACAATCTTATTTGCCTTTGGTTCGTCACTTTCCGAGTCTTGAAGAAAAGTATTTTTGATTTATCTTTTTCGATACTTTTTTACAGGTTTCTTCTTGACAGTTAAATCGTCAGAATCTGAGTCGACTTCATCAATTAGGGACTCTTGACTAAGCTGCACAAACAACAAATAATTGTAATAATTCTATATAACAATTTGAAGTCATAACTTGTAGTCAGCACTTACCAGTGGTTTGTAAGCGTGCGCTTCAGTGTGCTGCTCTGTGATTGGCTGCAGCCTAATGAACCACACACTTGCACCTTTTCTAGCCTGACACCTGACTTCCTCTGTTGTGCTGCTCCATGATTGGCTCCAGCCTCTGTTGTGCTGCTCCATGATTGGCTCCAGCCTCTGTTGTGCTGCTCCATGATTGGCTCCAGCCTCTGTTGTGCTGCTCCATGATTGGCTCCAGCCTGCTGGACTGAAATTGCCCCAGTGTGCCCCTCCTTGATATTCCGCAATCCACCACCAGGGTTCCGACACATAACACACTTTTTTCAGGAAAGTAAACCTCCAGGGGTCCTTTCCATATTTTTACAGAGACTGCATAAGGACCGTTAGAAAAGCATTACCCATTGATTATTAAGCTTGGACCAGTGGGGTCCGGTGTTCGGGCCCCACCACGTAAAACCAGTCCCCATGACGTGAGCGGAATCTCAGGTTATGGACCCCACCAGGAGTTGAAAACAAGTGCACGTGCACAGGACCATACACACGCACTGGACCATACACACGCACAGGACCATGCACGTGCACAGGACCATACACACACACACAGGACCATACACGTGCACTGGACCATACACACACACAGGACCATGCACGTGCACAGGACCATACACACGCACTGGACCATACACACACACACAGGACCATACACGTGCACTGAACCATACACACACACAGGACCATGCACGTGCACAGGACCATACACACGCACTGGACCATACACGTGCACTGGACCATACACACATACACACATACAGGACCATACACGTGCACAGGACCATTCACGTGCACAGGACCATACACACACACAGGACCATACACACACACACAGGACCATACACGTGCACAGGACCATACACGTGCACAGGACCATACACGTGCACAGGACCATACACACACACAGGACCATACACACACACAGGACCATACACATACACACAGGACCATACACACACACAGGACCATACACACGCACAGGACCATACACACGCACAGGACCATACACACGCACAGGACCATACACACGCACAGGACCATACACACGCACAGGACCATACACGTGCACAGGACCATACACACGCACAGGACCATACACACGCACAGGACCATACACACACACACAGGACCATACACACACACAGGACCACACGCACACACAGGACCATACACACACACAGGACCATACACGTGCACAGGACCATACACACGCACAGGACCATACACACGCACAGGACCATACACACGCACAGGACCATACACACCGCACAGGACCACACGCACACACAGGACCATACACACACACAGGACCATACACGTGCACAGGACCATACACACGCACAGGACCATACACACGCACAGGACCATACACACGCACAGGACCATACACACGCACAGGACCATACACACGCACACACAGGACCATACACGGGCACAGGACCATGCACACACACAGGACCATACACACACACAGGACCATACACGGGCACAGGACCATACACACGCACAGGACCATACACACGCACAGGACCATACACACGCACAGGACCATACACGCACAGCACAGGAAGGACCATACACGTGCACAGGACCATACACACGCACAGGACCATACACGTGCACAGGACCATACACATGCACAGGACCATACATGTGCACAGGACCATACACACACACAGGACCATACACACACACAGGACCATACACGTGCACAGGACCATACACACA